CTCTCTCTCTCTCTCTCTCTCTCTCTCTCTCTCTCTCTCTCTCTCTCTCGTCAAAAGGGCAGCAGTGGCGGGCAGCACGTCGAAATGGCCGATTTGAAATTGCTCGGGCCTGTGTGAAACCCGCCACCCCAAAAACCTGCAGTGTCTTGTGTCCGGACCTCTAGGCCCTGTCCGGTGAGGTGAACGACACTGAAAAATCACCCCATTATTTTTCAAGGGGCGGCCAGGACCCAAAAAACGTCCTGGGCCACCCCTTTATTTTTTTCGATTTTTGCCCTGGGGGCCTCCATCCGGACATAAGGACCAGACACCGAACACCGGACATGTTGTTCCGGACTGTCTAGAACCCGGTCCGGACGTCCGGTCGGTTACCAAGGTTTTGGATCTTGGATTTTTTTCCTCGGAATTCGGTTGCGAATTTTGCCATGATCCTCAGACAAACCTTGTTTGAAAAAAAAAAAAAAAAAAAAAAAGGAAAACCTTATTTTGTATGGCAGTGCTGCACAACATATGTTTTATGAACTTTTTTCCATAATTTTTATTTTGTTTGAAAAATCAAAATTTGAAAAACCATTCAACAATGAAGAAAAAACAAAATCAATTTCGTCTGGACAGTTCCAAACATCCGGAATACGCAGCCCGGACCACGAAGTCTCTGGAATCCGGGTCGGGTTCCTGCATGTTAGCCATGGTATTACGCAATGCAATATGTTTTCGTTTTTTGAAAAAGGGCGATGACCTTGAGATATTATCATCGGATTAATCAGCCGAGGTAAATTCAATGTCTAATCTGACAGGGTGGCCTTCTCAGCCCAGGGCGGCCTTATTGCATTCAGGGAACCCCTAGCAGCCATATACGCTCAGATGAGAGCAGTGGCTGCAACCCCCCCCCACGGGACGTAGATGGGCAATGCTGGCCAGGGGTCAGCCAGTAGCAGAGGGACCGAGCACCATCTGAGAGGTCAGTATCTGTGCCTCCCCGATTACCCCTCACCCCCCTCACCCTATGAGCATCAGCAGTGACTGATCAATGCCGATCAAGGGGACCAAGGGGCTATCTCAAGGTGGCGGGCGCCAAGCATGCTCAGGAGGGTACACGAGGCCAATGGGGATTGAAGTTCATTGAACCCATAACCTCCTTCTGAATGCCACTTGTGCGCCTTACCAACTGAGCGAGGCTGCGGGACACGATTCCAATGACAATCCATAGGCATGATGCAAATTAATAATTTAATATGGACATACATATAATGAAAGTCAGCACATTGTCAACAGCTTTCAGACCATGCCTCTCCCTCCCTCGCCTCTCCTTCCTTTGTCCTGCCACACATTGGCATTTTTCACATGCCCTCATATGGGAGCAATCATAGGTATTCTGCAAACATGATTATTAATTAACTAATTAAAGCCAGCATATGTTATCAACTTATCATTTCTAGCTTTCAAACTTCCTCTCCCTTCTCCTCTGTCCTCAGAGCTGTGTGTCTCCACTCTCAATATACTCCATTGTCCTGCCACAGCTGTCCTCCTTCCTCCTCCTCTCCTCCTCCTCTCCTCCTCCTTTCCTTCTCATGTCCTCCTTCCTCCTCCACTTGTCTCCTACCTCACCCTCCTGTCCCCTGCATGGCTTTACCCCCTCTGTCATCCGCTCCTTCCCACACACACGGTTTCATCTCCTCCCTCGCTTTCTCCCTTTCCCTTGGGATTGGGAACCTCCCTCCTTCCTCCCTCCTTCCTCCCTCCTTCCTCCCTCCTTCCTCCATCCCTTGCTTCTTCGTGCATATTACAGTCAGACTGGAAGACACGCCAGCAAAGTAACTCCCTCCCTCCCTCCCTCCCTCCCTCCCTGTCTCCCTTACTTTCCACATTGCAAAACAAGGGGAGAGGGCGAGGAGAGTCCCCTCACCTGAGGGTTGCAGTAAGTTGTGTCAAGAATCAATGTATGAATTCTCGCTGACTGGAGAATCGGATTGCACGCCATGGACTCGCAAAACCGGAAATCACCTGTGTGTAAGATGGACTGCACAGTGCACAGAAGACATGTACCACAGATTATTGGCACCCTGGACGCTCAGTTTCACTTTTCGCTGAGCGGAAAGAAGCCTTCTTAAGGGCTTGTTTACCACTGTAGACCATGTCCTTAGTATACCAACCAGTTTCAAAACTTCCAGTTCCTATCAAAGCATAGAGATCTGTCTGTGTAAAAGTTGGTAGGTATAGCCACTTGAGTAGTACTGGTTTCTGGATTTTCAAGATCCGCAGAGAAACTCGGTGTCACGTATCTCCAAACTTTTTCGCCGTCTCAAAGCGCCAATTACTATATAATCACATAGCAGACTCAAAAGCGCCAATGCCTAGCTCCCACAGTAGTCCCCTGTGGACCCTCGTACGGTCAACCACAATGAAGGGGAGCAAAGTATCGGGGGGTTCCAAATTCTTGTTCGCAGATGTGGCCATACAATTCAAACGTTTGGAGGCGGTGGTGGTCCCCATCTTGAGTTCGTCAATTTGGGAGTCTCCAACCATGCGGTAGGATAAGGTATACTATTTAGTATTCACCCTGTGCGTACGTTTGTCAGCGGATAGCTCTGCCCCTCCACAGGCACATAAGATCAGCACTCAATCCCCAAAAAAGGAAATAGAAAAAAAAAAAAAAAAAGAGCCCAATCTGTTACTTGGGTGGCTTGAGTTTGTTCCAAGCGACCCTGGCAAAATGGCATCAGCAGTTAGAAACTGATAAAAAACAACCGACTCAACACCTACGATCACTTTTAAGATTTCAAAATATCATCATTATGCGAGCCTACGCCCGCTTAGCCCCTACGGGGCCCTATCTGCAACAAGGTCGGCCGCCCTAAGTGAAGGCAGGCACGACAGGCCCTTCGCGCCTCATTCTTCAGGGTACCCCGCAACGGGGAAATTCAGACAGTTGCATTGCGCCAGTTGGTTGAATGAATCCAGGCCCTGGGCCGCCTGTGTAAATGAATGTGAAGCAGGCCCTGGGCTGGATACAGGTACCAGGCCAAACACAGGCCGAAAGCAGTTGGGCGCATGCAACCACATCAGGCCCCAGGCCTGCTCCCTTCGTGACTGGGCCTGTGCCCACCGGGGCCTACCGGAAGTTTCCTGGACTGGACGCAGGCAGGCCACTTCAATATAGGGAAGGGCCTGCCTCCTCATTCGGCATTCGGGTGCTGGCTGCATGCTGCGTGAGCGCTGCTGCGCAWTCCGCTGGCTGGCTGGCACTCAYGCTCTCACGGGCGAGTAGGAGGGAGCACGCAGCCATAGCCAAGYTGCGCTGCTGTATGCTAGGTGAAGCGCAGGGTGGTCCTTGGGGTGCTAGTGGCATCTGTGCGGTGTGGATCGGGGTTGTGAGTGTTACGAGAGACATACCTGGTGCTGAAGCGTGCGACATTGGTCGCCATATGCTCGTACTTCGGGAA